TGAGGGAGCCTCAACATTGTCCATGGTCATGGTGAATTCGTTGGAAAGGGGTACAGGTTTGATGGCCTGCTGAGAGGGGTCTGCAGTAATGTGTAAAGGTGTGAGGAAAAGGGGTTTCTGATCCCCTTCCCCATGGCCCTTCCAAGCTGATCGCTCTGACGACGACTTTTTCGGAGAAGTAGAGGTGGGTGAAGCTGACTGGCTTGAACTCTTCGGAGGGTGCTGTACTAGGGACAGTACTTTGAGTGAAAAGAAGGTCGTTCTGAACAGCCGACTCTCTCAGCGTCATGACATGTACTGCTAGAATACTTGTGAGCATCCCCTGTGGGCTAGATAAGGATGAGATTAGAGTTATCGAGCAGTATCTTCCATTGTTAAGACCACGTATTTAAGCCCGGTGTAGGCCATTTGTCGGTACTTCATAGGAATAGTCATGTTGGCCTCTGCAGAGAAGACGGATGAAGGGAGGTTATGGGTAAGCGTTTTCTACTTCTTAACCAAACGGGTGGTTTTCATGGGTTCCTGGAACTTACCAGATAACAATGCTGGGAGCTAACGAGAAGCCCTAGTGCTAGTTGGGGGAACCACTTGCCGGCGCCTCCGTATCTCTTCTCCTAACCATGGTTCGCGTGGTGGAGATCACGTTTTCTCTATTCCGCTATTCCTTGGCGACTCTGGTCGTCTGCCCTCCAAGCCTAAGCTTTTTTCAAGGAATAGATACGAAGGCTGGCGAATGGTTCCTTAAAAGCACACAATACTGAATGATCGCAGTTCGAGGTAGTAGGTAAAAATCTTAGGATTCATCGATTCTTTTTCATATTGAAAAGAAAGTGGTCGCAGCTCTGCGAGGGAAGACGGTCAGCAGAAACTACTACGAACTTCTCCCTTTACAGGTGGAACTAAATAAAGGACAATCGGTAGAATTTTTACTTTTCCTCAGGCGCGTCCCGCGATCAAAAAGGACGAGGATCGGAGTTCCGTCATGAAAGAAAGGGTGTACAGTTACTCAGAAGTAAAGAAAGAAACTGAGGAGCCCTCGAAAGTGCTCTGGATAGGACCCTTCCCGATGCAAATTTGTACGACCGTACGGTGAGGGGGAACATGTTGTGACGAAGTCCTTACTGGTATCATCACGATATCAGCTCCTTCCCCTTATCACATCACCCCCACCATCCAGGAAGAACTAGTAGCGAAACAGCCGCACCACCAGGGAGTGCTTGGAAATGAGGGTTGAACATAGTTATCACAAGAAAGCTGAGTTGTGGGCAAAAGTGATGGTGATGGAGAGGTGTCGTGAGAAGCAGCAACCCCGCTCCCTATCCTTCCTAGACCTTGGGAAGACATCCGAACGCCTACCTCGCCCTGTGGGAAAGCGTTCAGAAAGCGAAACGCCCAGGAACACCTGGTCTCTATAGTGAAGCACATGCAGGTGGGGCCAGCTGTATCCCCTCCCTGCTTCACAAAGGAGATTGGCATCACGGTTGAGGTAGACCAGGGATCAGCCCTCAGCCCCCTTACTCTTCCTCCTGACTCTGGGTGTCATGGGTAGAGGGCAGTGAAATCCATCGACATTTCCCAGATGGGGGAGAGCAGGAAAGTGTCCCAGGACAAGGTGCAGCCGTGGCAGGATGTGG